ATATATATATGCATGTACATATATACACAACATATATATCTATATATACACACACCATGTGTGTCTACATGCGCATGCGTCATTATTCAGGCTTCTACACCACCTTGCCCCAAACCTGAAACCCTAAACTCTTCGCCCCAAACCCTGGGCCTCACAGCTTCGTGAGACTTTGCTCTGAGCCCTATCAGCCCTAGAGGCCTCCAGTCCAACACCTCTCAGTTTAAAGCAACTCGAACCCTACAGGCCCAGCACACGAAACCTCAACCCTGAACTGTAAACCCTCTCGAACCCAAGGGAACCTGTGTAAACCCCAAGCCCAACACCCCCAAATCCTTTCGAACCAAGGTGGGTCATTGGAGTCTCCGACGAGCCTTTGGTACGCCCTGAGAACATGGCGTACTGGGATAATCTCTTCCTGATCGGAGACATGATGCCCTGGCTGAGTTAATGTGATTTTTCTCAGAGACGTCTTTTTTTCCGGAGTAAGGGTTGAGGATTTCGGGTGTAGGGCTTAACTTCCATGATTTAGGCTTGAACAGTCAGGGTTGGGATTTAAGGTTCGGGACGATTAGGGGATCATATGAGCCACTGTCAAGATTAGCCTTGTGAAGGGAGCCTTAACAGTGGACATAGGGGTCCCTCTTGCAGTTTGGTATAGTCCCTCATATTCTCCCAAAAAAAAAGAACCCATGTCCATTGATTTTCTGGTCTCATATATATACATATATGGCACCCCCCCATGTACCCACGCCTTTCCTGATGTATGTCAGGAAATGCGTGGCTCATGGGGGGGAAAGGTGTAAGGTAACCAAAACAATGATATTATGAGGGTTTGTTTGTTTTGCTTTAGGAATTAGAGGCCAAGAGTATTGAATTTGTCTATCTTCGAAGAAGACTCATAATTACAACAACCAAAAAACACAAAAACAACACACACACACACATTGAAAAAACACACACACACACATACAACGACAAAAACAAAAAAGCTGAAAAAAATCTGACCACATAGCTCGGCATGTCCCAAATTATGTAGTCTTTTGTTTTTAGTTGTTTGTGTGTTTTTTTGTTTTTTGATTCTGATCTCGCCTGAGGTATTAAATTCCACTTAAATTCTCCAAACGTAAGCAGCAAAGACTTGAAATCTCCCACTTGACCATATTTATCTTGATAGCGGACTGTACCTCTGTATACCTTACGTATACCCTTTAGAATACCACATAGAATACCTT